TGGGGCTAGAGAAGCCATGCATTTGCCAGTGGTCCAGCTAGCATGGTAAGGAAGGGATGGATGCCAGCAATAATGTGGGTATTGGATATTGGAGAGAGGAGAGGATGGGAGGGAGGAGAAGAAAGGATGAATGTGAGAGAGAGAGCAGTCAGAGACAACTGAAGCTTTATGCCTGGGTGACAAGAAAGATGGTGGCATCAACAAGAGAAACAGGGACTTGGGATCAGAAGTATAGCTATGATATGTGGGTTGAGGCAGGGAGTCTGTCTGAGGCAGTGTTGGGTGAGGGAAAGCACATTAGACCTCACAAGTGCTACGTTCTCAACCCAGGTCTATCATTAACTCAACAGGTGACAGTGAGCACATCCCCTCACTTCTGTAAAATGAGAAGCTGGACTCTAAGTTGGTCTATATGGTCTCTTTCAACTCTGACATTTTATGGTTCCATGGGACTTTGGTTTTAGACATCATCAATTTGAAATGCCAGCTAAAACATCTAGGTAGAGATGATAGGGAGGCAGTTCAAGGGTCAGATCAGAGTTGGAGGTATTGGTTTTGATTCATCTGCACAGATGTGATAAACTAACAAATGGGAGTGGATAGGCTTGCTAAGGAAAAGTGGGTAAATCAAGCTGGCAAACAGTAAGCATCCATGTCTTCTTTGTGTCTGGGTCCTGGGGATACAAAAATGAAACAGCCCCTGCCCTCGAGGAGCTCAAAGTCAACTGGGAAGACAACATGTACACATATAAGCACATGCAGAATAAAATTTTTTAAAAATGTAAAGTAGTTCCAGGGGTAAAGAAATTAACAGATGCAGAGATCAGGAAAAGCTTTGTGGGGAGGGTAATGCTTGAGCTGAATCTCGAAGGAAGTCAAAGATTCTCTAGCCAGAAAAGACACAGGAGAGAATTCCAGGTATGGAGGATGTCCAGTGCAAATTTACAGAGATGAGAGGGGGACTGCTGTGTGAGAGGAACAGCAAGAAATTCTGCATGCAGAGTGCACAAAGGCAAGTAATGTATAATGAGGCTGGAAAGATAGGTTGGGCCAAGTTGAGAAGGGCTTTAAAAGCCAAAGAGAGTTTTATTTTATCCTAGAGCTGATAAGAATCCTAATAAGGAAATTTGTGTGTGTGTGTGTGTGTGTGTGTGTGTGTGCGTGTGTGTGTGTGTGTGTGAGAGAGAGAGAGAGAGAGAGAGAGAGAGAGAGAGAGAGACAGAGACAGAGACAGAGAGACAGAGACAGAGAGACAGAGAGACAGAGAGAGACAGAGAGAGACAGATGGTCAAATCTATGATTAAGCAACTATGTCAAGAGTCTCTCCATATCCCACCCATTTCTTCATATTCTACCCTTTATTCTAGACTCCACTCAAGTCCCACTTACCTGCTCTAGGAAGCCCTCCACCTTCTCCTTTCCTTCCTCTGACCTCCTACACACTTAGAGTCTGCACTATGCACTCTACCAGTTGTCTTGCACCATTCTCTAGCTCTTGAGTCCTTACTCAGTTCTCTGAAATCAAGGACTGTGTTTTCTCCTTCCTTCCCATGGCTTACAGAGCCTAACATCAGGCTGGGCACATATTAGTTGTAGAGTGGGGAGAGCTTTGAGAGAAGAGAAGAGAGGCTGGGGCAGAATTCTGGGGAACAAAAGTCAGAAGGAGAAAAGGGGGAAGGACGAGCCCCTGAAAGCATAGGTCAGAGAAGGAAAAGAAGCAAATGAGTGCAATCCCATGAGGACAGCCTGTCAGATACAGGAGGGGCTTAACAGCATGAAAAGCTGTACAGAGCTCAAGGAAGGTAAAGACTGGGAGAAAAGGTCATTTGGTTTGGAGATTCCATGGTCACTGGAAGACTTGGACACTGTCATTGCAGTAGAGTGACAGAGTGGTACCCAGATTTCAGAGAGCTGGAGAATGACTGGGGAGTGAGAAAGCAGAGACAATGAATAAAGGTTATATCACTAGGAAGTTTAGCAGTGAGTGACAAGAAATCAGATGATAACTGAAGGGGTTAGAAGGATCAAAAGAGGCATGAGGTTTTTTGGCTTTGTTTTGTTTGTTTTGGGGGCTTTTCTGTTTGTTTTTTAGGATGAGGAGACCTGAACATGTGTACTAGCAGATGGAAACAAGCCAGTAAATGTGGAGACAGGAACCAGGCTCTAGAGGGGACCAAAAAGGGTGAGATCAAAGAGCACAGGTTTGGGGGTAAGTTGGCAAGAAGAAGTGAGGGCCACCTCACTCTCTGAGATCCAAGGGAAGGAAGCAGGGATGGCAGAGGTCTGGAGGAATAGGGGAGAGTGGAAGGAGCTCATGAGGAATGGCCTCCACCTTCCCCAGTGAAGTTGAGTCTATGGCATTTCTTATGAGCAGGGGTGCTGATGGTGCTATTGGGGACTTGAGGGAAGAAGACAAAGTTTGGAATACCTGCTGTGGAGAATGAGGTGGGGAGATTCAGGGCAGCAACAGCCACACAGCCCCAAATACCCCCCAGTTATAGTAAAGGTAGCTCAAGTCCTGCCTTGGGAGGACAGTATCAAGGAAGAAGACTATAGACGGTCCTTTGTGTCCACAAGAGGCAATATGAGACACTGCTGTCCCAGCCTCTCCACATCCTATCCATTTCTTCATATCCTACCCTTTATTCCAGCCTACACTCAAGTCTCACCTATCTCCTCCACGAAGCCTTCTACCTTTGCATCTCCCTCCTCTGACCTCCTACACACTCAGAATCTGCACTATATACTCTAGAAATTGCCTTGTACCATTCTCCATCTCTTGAGTCTCCACTTAGTTCTCTGAAATCAAGAATAGTATTTTCTCCTTCCTAGCTGTGCCTCAGAGGGCTAAGCACACACTACAGGTTTAATGTGTGATGTGGTAGAAATAGCCAAAGAATCAGAATCAGGATGCCTGGGTTCTGGTCCCAGCTCTGCCACCGACTTGTTGTACGTATGCAGGGAAAGCCAATTCCCATCTTTGAGCCTCAGCTTCTCCCTCATCAAAATGAAGGATTTGGATGAAAAGATCCTTACAGTTATTGGATCATGGAGACATAGAGTGTCAGAGTTGGAAGGGAATCTTAGAAAAAAAAGAATAAAGAATGTCAGAACCAGAAGGCACCTTAGAGGTCCTCTAGTTCAACCACCTCATTTTACAGGTGCCAGGATGGGGAGGAGATTTCTTCAATCAATCAACAAGTATTTACTAAATACTTAGTATGAAGCAGGCACTGTGGTAGGCATTGAGTATACAGGTGTAAAGAATTAAACAATCCCTACTCACAAGGAGCTTACATTCTCATGGTGAAGACAAATATGTAAAGGGAAAGGGAATGCATATTTTCAAGTGCCTACTATGTGCCAGGCACTCTACTAAGAGCTTTACAAATATTGTCTCATTGATCCTCACAACAACCCTGGGAGGTGGGTGCTGTTGCTACTCACATTTTACAGAAGAGAAAACTAAGACAGACAGAGGTTAAATAATTTACCTAAAGTTAAGTGTCCGAGGCTAGATTTGAATTCAGGTCTTCCGGACTCTAGGTCTAGCACTCTACCCACTGTGACCACTAGCTACTTCATAGTAATACATATATAAATATATACAGCAAAAATATAAAGTGCAGAAATATAAACATATAGAAAGTAGTTGAATGTAAGGTAGTTTGGGAGGGAGGGCACCAGTATATTGGGGGAGGGGGGTCAGGAAAGGTTTCATGAAGAAGATGGTTCTTAAATGAAAAGGCAGATGTCAAAAGGGTGTGTATCCCAGGCATATGGGATGGCCAGTGTTGAGGCACAGAGATGAAATATGGAGTGTCTGGTGGCAGAGCAGAGAAGATTTAGACAAGAAATAACTTTCTTCAGGTCTCTGAAGGGCTATCATGTGGAAAAGAGATTGGTCATGTCCTCAGCCCCAGAGGGCAGAACTTACAATAAGAAATAGACGTTATAGTCTTAGCTTGAGGTAAAATTACAAACAGAAACTTCCTGACCATCAGAGCTGTCCCCAGGTGGAGTGGGTTGCCTTGCTAGGTAGTGAGTTCTGTGATAGCAGAGGCATTCAAACAGAAACTGAATGACTCCCTGTAAGGGAGTTGTGGAGGGGATTTCTGTACAAGGACAGGTTGGAAGAGACCCCCTTTGTGATCTCATCAAGCTCTGAGAGTCTGTGATTCAGAAACTCAGGTCTTTTGATTCCAGGATCAATCTTCTGCTACACCAAGCTGCCATGACAGGTATGTCCAATGGAGCCTATTTCACTATCCTGGGATTTCCTGCAGCTGGCTTGTCCCCTGTCCTGTCCTGGGAGATCTTTGTTATCTCTGCTCAGCCTCCTATTGCTCCATCCAGACTGCCCCACCTCTAATGGACCAAGCTGAGTCCTTCCCCAGGCTCACAGACAACCAAAGCCACCCCTGAAAGGCACAGCCTCCCAATCTCTAGTCCAAGTTCAAAGATTCAGAATCATGAGGTTTCCCTGTAGCTCATGAATAACCTTCCCTCACCTGCGGCAGTCTCCTTCTTATCTAGAGAAAAGCAGTGGGCTTAATATCACAAGGTAAAGAGCCCCCAACTCAGAGTCAGAACACCTGGCTTTAGGTCTTGGTCCTGCCATGCTCACTATGACCTTTCCCTTCCTGGGCCTCAGTTTCCTCATGTGTAAATAGAGAAGGTTGGCCTAGATGACCTCTAAGCTCACAGGATTATAGATTTAGAGCTCTAATCCATTAGATCAAAGGGCCTTAGAGATCATTGACTCCAACAATCTCATTTTACAGATGAAAAAACTGAGACCCAGAGAGGTTAAGTCATGTTTTCAGAGTAACACAGGTATAGAGTATCTGAGGTAGAATCCAAACTCATATTTTTATGACCTCAAGTCCAGCCCTTTACCCATCACACCACTCTGCTATTGGTTCACTTCTTTCCAGCTTCAATACTACGCTTCTACCCAGTATCTTCCAGGTTTAACATTCTATATTCTATGTTCTTAGGTTCCTTCCAGGTCTGATATTCTATAGTTCTGAATTTCAGTCACCTGGGAGGCCATTCACTCAAGAGGACAGAAGCTCTGAACTGACCGCATATGTCTGGCTTCCTGTTCCTGTCATCTGTAGCCAGGGCCTAGAACCCTCAATCTTTTTCTTCTGCAAAGAGGATATAAGCCTCAGCCCAGTGGACTGAGGTAAGACATGAGTCTGGACTTGGCCCCCTCCAGGTCTGTGTCTGCTCTAGGCAGTTCCCTGTTCCCAAAATAGAACATCCTCAATGCCTAGGAGAAGAGGGTATAAGAGAGCCAATGTGTCTTTGGCCACTAACAGAATCATAGATTTTCAGAGCTAAGAAAGACCTGCCGTTATATTTGCTTTGTGACCGTGGAGAAACCAGCTTTCTCTCTCTGAGACGTATTATTACTCCTATGCAGATTAGATAATCTGTCAGGCCCCTTCCAGAGCTAATATGGTCTGTATTCCTATGAAATTACAGATCACCCAGCCTAACACTCCCATCTTTAAAGACCCTAGACAGATAGTGACTTTTCCAAGGTCACAGAGTGAGTCCATGGCAAAGCTAGAACCAAAACTCATCTTCCTCTTGTCTCTCAACTTTCTCGGCCACATTCCCACATATTGAGGAACAGCTACCAGCTGAGCCTTGGGCTATGTTCTGTAGGGAAATGGAAGGAAGGAGAAGGCCTATCCCTGGACTCAAGGCACTAGATGGGAAGTCAAGAGCTAGCAAATGGCACAAAACACATACTAGAGTGTGTGGTACAGACTCTATGGGTTGTAGGATATCAGTGGGAGGCCAACATGGTCTGAGGTGGTCCAAGAGGGCTTACTGGAGGTGATGGGTCTTGAGTTGGTCCTGAAAGGATGGAAGAATAGAAAGAGGCCAAGAGAAGGGTAGGTATCATTACATTTCAAAGGTGTTTGAGTAGCTCCTGTCCCAGAAAGCTCCAGGAAAAGCATACAGGAAGAGGAAGAATGATGAAAACCAGAGAGCTAAGAGGTAGATCAATGGGCAGGCAAAGAGCCAAGGAACCTAGACCATCCAGGAAGAGTGTCACTGTGCCCTCTTCACTCTCTGTCACTTTTCTGCCCTAATACTCTTGAGTCAAGCCCAATTTCCAGTTCCTCCAGGACAGGGCTGGGACCCCTCTGGCCTAACCCTGGGTCTGAAATTCATTTGAATTTCTTCTGGCAAGAACCTGGCGAGTGGTATCTCTCTGGCCTCAGTTACTGTTGTCTAAAGTCTTTGTGGATTTGTCTCATGAGGACAGCATTAACTATTATTTGATCACAATTTTTTTGTACATTCGATAAAAGCAGTTGAAAATCTGTGCATGATATTAATTCATTTATGCCTGAAGGCATTCAGGAATTCATACTAATTCATTCATACCTGAAAGGATTCATGTGATTTTTTTTTACTTCTTTGCTCCCACTCTATATTAAATGTGTAACATATAATTTGCACTATATATTATCCCCACGAGGACCCAACTGGACTCCAAACTGCTTTTTATTTTTTTTAAAGGTTTATGAAAATAAAATTTGTGCTGATTACAGATATAAGGCAGCTCTAGCCTCTTAAGAGCAAAGGTAAGGTACCTTTTTGTTGACTATCAAAGGTCTCTTCAGGCACTGATTAAATTGCATGGTGTGTTGGAAGACCCTCTGGACTGAAAGTGAGGAGATTTAGGTTCTCATCCTGGGTCTGTAACTGTATGAACTTGAGTAAATAACTTCCCTTCTCTAGGCCTCAGTTTCTCCCTCTGTAAAGTGGGGATGAAGGGGCAGAGCATCATCTCCAAGGTCTCTGATGACTCTGAGATCCTATGAGTTCTAGATTCCAGGGCAACATTTCAGGACATGGATGCTAGAACAGGACCACTGGGTATTTTGGGACTCAGGGAATTCTACATAAAAGAGGGATCATCATGGTCTGGGTTACAGTAATAAGAGCTCCTATTTCCTTAGCATTTTAAGGCTTACAAAAGGCTTTTCTCGTAACAACTAGGCAATGCAAGGATTATCATACTCACTTTCCAGAAAAGGAAAGTGAGGCTAAGAGACAGGACAGGGAATTAATACTCAGAACTAGGACTAGAAAGTGGGTCTCCAGAATCATGGTTCAGGGATCTTGCCTCGATGCTACCTGAGCTCCCCATTACCCTCTCTACTCTCCAGGCATCCTGGGTCACCATGGTCCACTGTAACAACCAAAGCATGCCTCCCCCCATGACAGTCTTCGTGCTGCTAGGCTTCCCAGCTCTTCAGGGGGCCCCTCTCCCACTCTTCTTCATCTTCCTGGCCCTGTACACCCTCATCGTTGTGGGCAATCTAGTGATCCTAGTGGCTGTAGTTGGAGACCCCAGACTCCACAAACCCATGTATTTCTTCCTGTGCAACCTCTCGGTCCTAGATGTTCTCTTCACAACCACCACTGTGCCCAAGATGCTAGCCATGTTCCTCTCCCAACATAATACCATCTCCTTTGCTGGCTGCTTCCTGCAGATGTACAGTTTCCATACCCTCACGGTCATGGAATCCTTTATCCTGGTAGTCATGGCCTATGATCGCTATGAAGCCATATGCCACCCGCTGCACTATCCTGTCCGCATGACTCCACAAGCCAACGCCAGGCTGGCAGCGAGTGCCTGGGCCATGGCACTGATCATCCCAGCTCCTGTGATGGTGGAGACATCCCAGTTGGAATACACGGCTAGGGCCACAGTGGAACACTGTTTCTGTGACCACCTTGCTGTAGTAAGGGCTGCCTGTCAGAATGCTGGGACTGAGCACCAGACTTTTACTGGCTTCTGCATTGCCATGACTGTCTCCTTGGTGCCTCTATTCCTAGTCCTCTTCTCCTATGGGCGGATCCTGGCCTCTGTTCTAAAGATTGCTTCCCAGGAAGGTCGGGCCAAGGCTTTTTCCACCTGTACATCCCACCTTCTGGTAGTTGGTACCTACTACTCATCCATCGCTGTGGCTTACGTGTCCTACCAAATGGAGATGGCCATTGACCTTCACGTGCTCAGCAATGTCATTTTTGCTATCCTGACCCCCATGTTGAACCCCCTTATCTACACATTGAGGAACAAGGATGTAAAGGAGGCCATTAAGACTGTTTTTCTAAGAATACTTCCTCATTCAAAGAACTCTTAGCCAGTTCATATAAAATGGCCTGGGACCTTTATTAGACTACAAAATCAATATGGGTCAAAAGTATGATTTGGCAGTCAAAAAAGCAAATGCAATTTTGGACTGCATTAACAGAAGCTAAGTATCCTAAACAAGTCAGGTCTTGCTGTTCTCCACTCTGTAAAACCCCATTTGGAATATTGCTTTCAGATCAGGTGGCCACATTTCAGGAAGGACTTTGTCAAGTTGGAGAGGGGCCAGAGGAAGTTAACCAGGATGAAGAATGGAACAGAAAACCATTTAACGTGGGGGATGATTGAAGGATTTGAGAGTGTTTAGACTGAAGAAGACTTAGGGGAATATTCTACTTTTCTTGAAATTTCCAGTCATTTCAGTTGTTTTTGACTCTTTGTGACCTCATCTGGGATTTTCTTGGCAAAGATAGTGGAGTGGTTTGCCATTTCCTTCTCCAGCTCATTTGACAGATGAGAAAACCAAGGCAAAGAAGATAAAGTGATTTCCCTAGGGTCACACAGCTAGAAAATGTCTGGGGTCAAATTTGAACTCATGAAGATGAATCTTTCTGATTCCAGGCCCAGGGCTCTATCCACTGCACCACCTAGCTGCCCCCTTTCTTCAAATGCCTGGAGGAAATGTGGAAGAGGGATTGGATTTTTTTCTTCTCGTACTCAGAGGACAGAACTAGAAACCATTGAGAAAGTACTATTTTAACTACCTACTGTGCACAAGGCACTGGGGGTGCAAAGAAAAAAGATGAAAAAGTCCTTGCCCTTAAGGAGTTTATATTCTCCTTGGGCAGAAAGAACATGTATGCAGTTCAGACAATACAAAGACAGAGAGAGAGAGAGAGAGAGAGAGAGAGAGAGAGAGAGAGAGAGAGAGAGAGAGAGAGAGAGAGAGAGAGAGAGAAATTATAGGGCAGAGAGTACTAACAATCTGGAGGGAGCAGGAAGGTCTTGTATAGGAGGTGACTCTTGACCTGAACCTTGAAAGGAGACTAGGTAATCCAAGGGAAAGAGAGAAGAGAAGCCGATTCCTGGCATGGAGAATAGCCTGTGTTAATCATGGAGGTAGGAATTGGAAGGTCATGTACAGGGAATGGCAAAGAGGCCAGTTTGATGGGAACATAGAGTGCACTGAAAGGAAGCAATGTGAAATCAATCTGGAAAGATAAGTTGGAGATAGATTGTGAAGGGCCTTAAATGCCAAACAGAGGAATCTGTATTTTATGTTGGAGGAAAGACAGAGGCACAGAAAACTGTTTAATAGGCAAATGAAATGGTCAGACCTGTGCTTTACAAATATCAATGTGGCAGCTGGATAGAAGATGGATTCAAGAAGGGAAAGACCTGAGGCCAATTAGGAGACCAGGACAAAGATGATGAGCTCTTCCAGCAGGGTGGTGGCCATGGGAGTGAAGAGAAGGGAACAGACGCGAACGATGTCATGAGGCCAGAATGGATAAGACTTAACAACTTGGGACAGTAGTTGCAGAGAGGAAGAAAGGTTCAGTGTCAGGTAAACTCACTGACCATTAGAGCTGTCCAAAAGGCAGAAAAGACTGACTCATGATGTCAGGAGGCCCACTTCACTGAAGGACTTTGAACAAAGGATGGATGAACAAATGTCAAGTATGATCAACAGAGGACTCTTTTGTATATATTGGTTGGACTCTACAGCCTCTGAAGTCTTTCTAATTCTGAGACTATTTGATTCTTTAAGTCTCCATGGGAAATTCATTCTTCCTAAGGGGGAGGGGGCCTACACTGCAAACTGAAACAGCCTCTGGGGTGGGTGGCAAAAACGCCCATATGTCACTGAGGTGACACAGCTAACCCAGCATCAACAGAGTAAAAATTTTGGTTAGGGTAGTTGGCAATGAGGATGGGTTTTTCTTGAACTATCCATCCTCTCTCACATGTTTCCACATGAGATCAGTCTGGGATGAGTATCAAGGCTCATTCTGGGATGGGGATCAGGATCATGGTTCAGCCTGGGGCCAATGTTAGGGCTCATTTTGTGGTGGGAATCTTAGGTCACTATGGGGCTAGGATTTGGGATCAATCTAAGGCCAGTGTTAAGGCTTAGGCTCTGACTAGGGGTCATAAGGTCATAGATCTAGAACTGGAAGGAACCTCAGAGGCCATTTGGCCCAAGTCTGGGTCCATCCGGATTACAGTCATCCAAACCTATCACCCCATACTTCCCAGATGAGGCCCTGGGCTAAGCTCAAGTGGGAAGCCAATAAGATTCTGAAGGTCCATTCACAACAGAGCCCAACCTATGTAAGAGGACAATCAGGTCCTTCCAGAAGACTCCTTCGTTCTGTTCTGCCCTTTTCTTCCAGCCTCTAGAAATACTTAACCTAAAATCAAGCTCAATTTGTCTAGTTTCTCCATTGTAAATCAGGGAAATTCCAGAAATTGGTTTTCCCCCAAAGTCCTGAATTCTCCAGGCTTTGCTATGATAATTAATATCCAGGGGACAGGTTTGGCTCTTCTGTTTTCAGCCTCCAATCTGAGTGGGCAGCAATAAGTCTCAGTCTGACACAGTCGGGCAAATTTCAGTTGCTATTTTTGTAGCTCTCTCCATGCATAGTACATTGGTCTTTCGGTGGGGTGAATGTCTACCATTTGATTGAGGTGGCCTGAGAATCTGTCTTTGCCTTCTTCCTTCATTTCCCACCTTTTTCTCTCTCCCATCTGTTCCTTCCTCTCTCACAGCCCCCATCCTAAGACAGGTCCTCATTGCCACCAAAGAGCCTCCTAATAGATCCTCTTGCCTCTACTCTTTCCCTTCTGGGCCATCTTTCATATGCTGCTGGACTGATATTCCTTATCCACAGATTTGATTATGTCACCTCTCTTTAAAAATCCTCCCTGTTTTCTTCTAAGTTCAAATTCCATTCATTCATTCATTCAGTAATCATTTGCTAGCCTCCAACAGATCTTCTGTATTTTCTCTCTCTCTCTCTCTCTCTCTCTCTCTCTCTCTCTCTCTCTCTCTCTCTCTCTCTCTCTCTCTCTCTTTCTCTCTCCCCATTCCTTCCTCCCTCCTCTTTCTTCTCTTTTTTCTCTTCTCTTCTTCTCTCTCTCCCTCTCTTCTCTCTCCCTCTTCTCTCTCTCCTCTCCTCTCCTTTTCTTTGCTCTTTCCCCCTCCCGTCTCTTCCAATCCATCCTTTACCTACTGTTAGAAAAAAATTAAACATATATCAGGTCACATCACTCCTCTATTTAAAGGAAAACTGAGAGAAGTTCAAGTTACTTAGCCTGGCTAATCTCATCAACAAATTTCTCCTTCATGCATTTTTGGGGCCAGACTACCTGGTCTACTCTCCCTAACTCCAGAACACACCCCACGCTTTCTTTCCTCTGTGCCTTGCTTGGCTCATTCTATACCACCTTTCCTCTCCTTCTATGCCTGTTGCCCAATTTAAATGCTACCTCATCCAGGAGGCCTCCCTGTTCTTGCCAGACACTAACAGCCTGCTCCCTCGGATCACACAGAGCCCTCTTTTTGCACCTCTTTATATATTATGGTTTACTGCATATTATAGCCATCTGTGTTGATATCTTATTCTTCTACTTGACCATGAGGTCCATGAAGGCAAGGACTCAGTTTTAGTCAAACTTTTTATGTCCATCAGTGCAAAGCACAGTGTTCTGCACACAGCAATGATGATGATGATGATGAGAGTGAAAGCCAGTCTAGACAATCACCCAACCCCACTTCAAGCAGGTAACAAAATGCTACTCCCAATAGTTTTATCAAGTAAGAGCACAACTGGATAATATGCTATGTATGAGCAAAGCCTAGATACCTCACTCACTCACTTAATCATAGGCTTTAGACTATGTGCAGAAAAAAGCCCTTGATCACCATTTTGTAAACTAGATGATGAAGGAAACTGTTTAGATTGACTAAGGAAACTTGGTTTCCTATCGATGAACATCATGGTTCATCTATAAAAAAAAAAAACAAAGCCAGTTTAGAACCCATCACTGCACCAGCAGTATCCCAGGGACAGGAATGAATGATGACAGTGTCTTCATCAGGAGCCAAAGACAGACTGGATGCAATGAGGAGAGTCTAATTAAATCCAAATCCTCTAGTCCTTCTCCAGCCAAAGCCTTAGTCCCCTTCCTCCTCCCTCCCAAATCATTCCATCTTAGAGGTATGGCTGGAGGCTTCTTTCCTTTGCTGGATTCTCAAATTTCTGGGTTATGAACTGGCTTACCATTTTACAGGTGACCTACAGGGCATGATTAAGTTTTCTCAACCATTCTGAATGTGCTTCCTGGGCAATAGCCCTCCAGTCCATCCCGTGGCTTTCAAAGACATCTAAATTGATCAAGTACTGTCACCCCCTCCCTCCCTACACACTTAGTCTGAGCCTACTTGATTGATTGATTGCACTGAGATTGAAGACCAAACAACTGAGATATGTTCTCACCTGATAAAGGTACGAAAGCACAGCATTTGGCTACTTTAAGTGGAGTGGGATACTTATCTAGGCTGACCTCTACCCTTGACAACAAGAGGTCATCATCAACAACAATGAAAGCTGACATCTAAGGTTTATGAACCACTATACAACCATTATCTCAACCGATCAGCAGGCACTTGATAATTCAATTTCTATACCACTTGAAGGTTTACAACCTGCCTTTCCCACACACTATAAGAGAAGTAGACCAGTATTATTATCCCAGTTTTATAGAGGAGGAAGCCAAGGTTTATGGAGCTTGCTGGGAGTTGCACAGCCAGTAGAGATGGGACTAGAACTGGTCTGGTCTAATACTTAGAGCTGTCCCAAAGTGGAATAAATGGCCTCAGGGATGGGGGCAGGGTAAGAGGTCCTCCCAAGCTGAAGGTCTTCAAGCAGAGATTGAAAGACCACTGGGGGATGTGGTAGAGGGAATTATTGGTCAGGTGTGGGTTGAACAAGGTCTTTGAGGTCCCTTCCAGCTCTTACAGTCTGTAATTCTGTGACTACTGTGAGTTTTCCCATTTAATAAACCTTCACACAATAAATGGTTGTTGTAGTTCTCATCTTTTCCCAGTTA